CGCCGTGTGGAGCATGGGCTTTGCCAGTCGGATCGAGTCAAAGCTTTCCCCTGCCGGTGGCTCAGCCCACACCGAGCGGCTGTTCGCTGCAACCCCCTGAATGGGGCGGGAGAGGGCAGAGCAGCCGCACGAAAGAGTTCAAATGAATCACTGGCGTGAGTAAGAAGCATCAGGGAGCCTTTGAACAGATCAAGCCATTGATGAAGCAGTGTGCAAAGCATGTTGAAGTCTGTTGGTTAAGCTTGTTCTCGATGAAGTCAGTGAGAGCAGGGTCTAGAAGAGCAATGTTCCTGCTAATCTTTTTTTCCATCAGTGTGTGGATTTTTTTCCATGCATGTGCAGAATATATTATGGCTACGTCTACATTGGCATGATCTTGCGCAAATACTCTTTAACGCAAGAGTTCTTGCATTAAAGTATTTGCGCAAGAGAGCATCTACACTGGCATGTGCCTTTGTGTAAGAGATGTGCTTTTTGCGCAAGAGCATCCGTGCCAGTGTAGATGCTCTCTCGTGCAAGAAAGCTCCAATGGCCATTTTAACCATCGGGCTTTTTGTGCAAGAAATTCATGTTGCCTGTCTACACTGGCCTCTTGCGCAAGAACAGTTGCACAAGAGGGCTTATTCCTGAGCAGGAGCATCATAGTTCTTGCGGAAGAAGCACTGATTTCACACATTAGAACATCAGTATTCTTGCGCAAGAACTCCCCGCCAGTGTAGACAGGCAGCATGTTTTTGCGCAAAAGTGGCCACTTTGGCACAAGATCATGCCAATGTAGACACAGCCTTTGTTGTGTGCACTGAGAATATGTGTGAATATGCACCAGCAGAAGAAACGTTAATCTAGTTGTGGGAGCTCTGCTAATTCACTAGACAGCATTTGAATCTCTCAGGAGAGGCCTCAAGGAATGCTAGTCATAGGTGATTTGTAGTAGCACTGGGAGATGCACAATCGCCCTGCATCTTTGCCAAATTTTAATTGCTAAATGGGGTGCCCCAAGTGCCCTAGTTGTCATTGGGTAAAGTGATGTTTTTCATATGATCAATATCTACTGATTAAAGAAACAATTTTGCAAGCTTATATATAGCTCTTCTTCAGGTCTGGGCAAAGTACTCAGAGTGTCACAGCTGAGCACAAGGGGAACAGATTGTTTGGCACAGGGAGTTAACACATGTTTCATGGTTTAAACCCGAGTGGGCAAAGAGGCCTCCATGGGCCTGATCTGGCTTGCCAAGTGGGTGGATCCAGCCTGTGCACACTCTACTGCTGCCCCGCCTCTCCCCAGGCCAATCAGGGCCTGGAGGTAGGAGGAGTGTGTAACGTCTCTCACTCCCTGTCCCCACCCTGCAAGGGGTGCACCGGGTGCCCCTTGTAGGGTGGGGGCAGGGAGCAAGAAACTTTGCATGCTTTTCCCACCCCCAGGCTCCGATTGATCTGGGGTAGGAGGGAGCGCACAAATTCTCCTACTGCCAGGGGCATAAGTGCCTAGAGGGAACCAACAGCTGTTCAAGAACAGCTGGTAGTTCTCTATGGGGGGGAGCTGGGCAAAACCTTCACCAAACCAATCAGGGTCTGTGGGCAGGGAAGCAGAAGTGTCCTGGCCCCATCCAGTTTTCCCTCTGAGTTGTGTGGCTTCACAGGTAGCCCCACCCAGTCAGAGGCTCAGGGCTCCATGCATACTGATTAATCATCCGGAAGCTGTGCTGCTACACAGGGAAGACTGGGGCCACCTCAAAAATTAGTATTGCCCACTCCTGCTCTAAACAATGTATTTAGCTGTGACACTCTGAGTACCTTACCCAGACCTGAAGAAGAGCTTTCTCTGTGGCTTGAAAGCTTGTCTCTCTCACCAACAGAAGTAGGTCCAATAAAAGATATCACCTCACCCAACTTTTCTCTGTAATATCTTGGGACCAACAGAGTTAGAACAAGACTGCCTGCAAGCTAGCATTTTGGTCTGTGCACCTCTGCCAAGTAGCATATAAAACAGGCTCAAGTCTGCTATACACAAACCCTCACACTGCCTTTGAAAGGAATAAAAACACCTGCATTCAGAGCTGAAGGACCTACATTCTGTCCCCACTAGGGGTCTGTCTCCTGTGCATTGTAAATCTGGATCTTTGGGCCATTAGCTTATCTTTCCAAGCCTGTGCTTGAGTGGTCACATTGCACTGTACACCTAAGCTTACAGTCGTTGGACCTGGGTATGTCTACATAGCAAGCAAACTCTCAAGAGAGAATCTGTATAGTTTGGGCTCTAGGGGCTGGAGTCAGTGGTGGGCTTTGGAGCCCAAATATCTATACAGCTATTTTTAGTGCTGTAGTGTGAGCTGTAGTGTTTAGTCTGTAGACCCAGGCTCTGAGATTCACTGCCATGGCATCCTGCTTTCTATTTAGATGTAGACATAGCTGTGCTAACATGTGTACTGTACCACACAGAGTTTCTAATTCAGGTCTGCAGCTTGAGCTGCTTTTACATCCATGCTACTAAATTACAGAGCTTAGTCACAGGGCAACTCTGGCACTGACCCAGGTTCTGAGTGCTTGCTGACCTATTTGTGTGTGACTAGGAGGATTTGGGCTCAACCCTGAGTCAGGGCAAAGGCTTAGCATGGAATGTAGAGATGCCAGTCAGGGACAAAGCATCCTCATTGGCTGGCTATGAATAGAATTAAAGGAGATGAAACTGAGGCAAAGTCAGACTGCTGGTAAAAAACACTCTATGATTCAACTCCTCACTAAACTTTCTCATTATAACCAGTCAAGAAAATCATAGTCAGTATAATAATTAATTAATATAAATAGAGCGTTCCTGAACCCAGGAGAAATAATCTGCAAATTCCACTAGGTAGCCCAGTGTAGACAGCCACTGTGCACATCTAATTTAACTTATTCAGCACAGTGAAGGACCCCAATAGAAATATGAGAGATGGGTCAGTCATGGGTGACCATGCATTATCACACTGTCCACAGTGGCCCTCTGGGGATCATATCAGATGCGTCCAACATTTATTGGAAGGGAAATAAAACATGTTTAAATAATGTTTCAACACCATTTAAAAAAGTTTCATCATGGCTGTAAACTGTGCTGGTTAATTTTAAGTTATGTTTACTGAAAGTGTGGACAGGACTAAATAAATCCTCTTTTCTGGCCTTGGTAAATGTTATCTTTCCTCTACTCCAACTCCATTTCAAACTCTGCTGCTAAAATTGGCTTCATGGCTGGTCAAGCCAACTATATTACTCCTCTCTTTGCCTTTCTCCACATATTCCTCTTTTCACTGCACCCAACACAAGCTACTGTACTTGTCCTCACTTTTAAGGTCCTACACAAGCATACTTTCAGCCTGTCTATTGTCTTTTATTTGTTATCAAGCTACTGATCTCTGTCTGCGCTTTGTCAGTCATGCCAGCCTTCTGTTCTGTATAGGTTCTTATACCATGTATGTTCATCACAACAGTACTGAAGAATTTCCAGTAGTGCATTAAGCAACATGACTGATATCTGTCCGATGTTTGCTCTCTCATCCTTCTTATGCACAGAAATCTGATCTGTGGCATTTTTATAATATTTATACAGATATTGCTTTATGTGTGTTAGAGAAGGCAAAGTCTAAGGCATGTGCCTGGCACTTGGAGCAAAAAGTAATGAGATTTGTTATGGTCCTTAATTCCTGGGGAGTTCATTTTGCAATTGTGAGCCAACATCCCCCTGAAAAAGCCCTGGCTACATCTACACTGCAGCAGTTTTTCAGAAGAGGAAATGCAAATGGAGCGCTTTCATTTGCATATTCTCTTCCAATTCTTTTTGCGGAAGAGGTTTTTGTGATAAAAAGCTCTGTGTAGACGGGGCCATTTTTCGGAAAAGTACTGTTTTGCACAAGATCCTGTAAACCTAATTTTTGGAGGAATAAGGGATCTTGTACAAAATTAGGTTTTTCCTAAATTACTGACTTGACCAATTGTAGTATGTATCTTCAATCAAAGACCCAGAAAGAGATGTGACTGCTAGTTCCTCCAACTATTTTTCTTTCCCAGTAGTATCACTGCTATTTTGCTTGGGTTCAACTTCAAACGGCAGTTCTTAATCTGTTAGCTGATCTCATCCAAACATAGGGCCACCGTGATGGTAGTGGTATGATTATGTGCAGTGAAGGGTAGGTAGTGCGGTGTGTTAGCTACATATTGCTGTCACCGGAGTCCATTTTGTCTGACCATTTTTCACCTAGGGCAGGGGTGGCCAACCCATTAAACAAAGAAAGCAGAAACAGTGACAGAGAAAATGCAAAGAGCCGCACCAGAATTGTTGAACAAACAAACAAAAAACAAAACAAAAGAGGAAGAGCTCCCCACCAGCCAGAGTTGCTGAGCAAAAAGAAAAAAGACGTTGCCCCTTTAAAAACCACAGGTTAGGCTTTTTGGCCACATCAGGCTCCCACCAGCCGACGCCATCTTGCTGACGCCATTTTGCCATGCTGGACAGCTCCCCTACACCCGGGGAGCACATAGGGCTGGGGGCCATTTGTAGGGGTGCATGGGGCGGCTTCGCAAGCCACGGGGGAGGCTTCACAAGCCGCACTTTCAGGGGTGAAGAGCTGCATGTGGCTCACAAGCCGCAGGTTGGCCACCCCAACCTAGGGCTTCATGTAGATGTTGAATAGGAACAGAGAAATTATCCTTATAGTCCTTATAGGACTCTACAAGGGAGGGGTCTAGTGATAAAGGTGCAGGTTCCCATCACTATTCATTAGGTTCATCCCTCCAGGAAGAACTCAAACCATTTTAGTGTATGGCCCCGAGAACCTCCTCCACAAAAAAAAGTCCAGTATCTTATAGTCAACAATGTTCAATGTTTCAGAATGACCTTATTTGGCCATCTGTCCTGTTTTCCTTCAAGCACTTCCCTGCTTTCTCTTCTGCCACACTCCATGCATGGAAAAACCTTCACGTAAAAATCCACAAAGACGCTACCTTGTCCTCCTTCAGATGCTTCCTTAAAATTCCTCTCTGCCATGCTTACAAAACTCTTGGCAATGGCTAGGCAGCTTGTGTGCTGTGACCTCTGGTTATTACAATAATCATAAATGCAGTAAAACCTTGAATTTTACACACACTAGTCTTACCAAGGACCAGGTATACAAATCATACTCCCAATGGAAAAGAAAAAAATCACATACATTCATGTTGATGAGGAACATTTTGATGTCTTTAATACATTGTAAATCACTTTGCAGTGGTTTGGAAGACAAGAAGAGTGCAACATAGTGCACCATACAGCAACATAAGTGCCTGCTGTAATTCTGAATGTTAAATTTTATGAGCTTTTCAATTTTATTAACTCCCTAATCCCCAGTTAGTTCATAAAGGAAGAGTATCTCACTGTTAACACGCTCTCCTGATTCTCAGTTATGTTTACCTACTGTCCATTGCCAGTTTCCAATTGGGAACAGGCACTGTCCTTGATATATGTGTATGGGGCCCAATATCTGACAGCTCTGAAGGCTAGCACAATACAAATAACTAATAATACCAGTTTTCTAATAAACACAGGAAAGGGTTAGAGCTCTCCTTCTATTGTTAACATGTTTTCTGTAAAATGTGATCATAAAGGAATGACCTGGTACATGCCAAGAATCAAGTGGCCAAATCCTTTGAGCTGTCCATATAAATTGAAAAACCCCAAGGGAAGAGAGTAGCAGTAACACCACCTGCCATTCCTCATTGTGAATCCCCCTGGGGCATAGAGAACTAGGCTGATGAAGTATACTTTACATATCTTTGCATCAGTTACTATCAGTTGGCTTGATTATTTGTTGGTTTTTTTACTTCTATAACTAATAATGTAACCCCACAATTAGACATTACTGCAGTCAGCCATTTTGTGTTTCTAGCCACTAGTAGCTGAAAATCAAAAATCACATAGCTAGGAATAATTTTTAGGACCATTAGAAGCAAGGCTAAACAGGTATAATTTGCCATTTTGCTGAACAGAATGGAAGAAGGGGAAAAGAGTTAACAGATTGTGAGAATGCAAGAGAGTATGTGGATAATGACCTTGGATTTGAGTGCCTCTGTCATATAAATGTATTATGACTAGAAATACTAGGAATGTTTTGTTGATAAAAGATCGTGAGCAGTTTGCTGAAGCTAGAAGAACTAGTGACCCACTAGAGATTACTGTGGTGACTGTGGTAATTCATAGGGGTTACTATGAATTATGTATTTTTGGGAGTTAGCTATATAACAGAGGTGGGCAATAATGTGGCTCTGGCTAAGAGACACTTACTAGTTGGCTCCTGGCTGGCAGACCAGTAGGACCTTCATGCAAGCTCCCTGGCTGCTGTGGCTGCACCTGTTGCTCAAAGGGGCCAGCGTGTGTGCTTCTGCGTGACCCGCATGCTTTCAGAGGAGGGGGGCCCTCTGTGCCCTCTTGCAAAGAGAATGTAGTGAAAAAATAAATGTGATAGTCTCAAGTGGGAACAATTAAAAAATTATTATCCTATAGTTATTATCCTGTGATTTCTCTGACCTCTCTAAATCAAAACTAAGATATATAATATTCCTGATCTATTTCAAAATTAATGTCAAGCTCTTCCTTATTTTATAGAACCAGTCATTTGTTCTTGGAAAGTGCAGAACAGGAGTCCGATAACCCAGTTGGGCTAGTCATTCTAGGCACCTAGCTTGCCACATGTGGAAAATAAAAACTATTTTTGAGGCAAATTGCCACTCTCTCAGCAAAATTAAGGCAATTGAGAGACTGCTCCAAGCAACATAAAATAATCTATCCCCCTGTCTGTTAGGATTTTTGCATATTATATCAAATCAAGGTCACAAATACAATTTTCCAAAGTAGCTAAGTGACTTATATGCCTACATCCCACTTTCAAAAGGGATTCAGGCACTGAGGGCCAGATATTTAAAGGCACCTAAAGATACAGTAGGCATTTCCAAAAATCATGGTAGGTGCCTATCTGCAATAGAAAAGCAGTAAAATCATCTCCTTGTAAAAACTACAGAATTGCTTTCCAGAAGGCCAGTGCAAATTCTACACAATGTAATAACAAAGAACCAAACTGGCTTTAACAGAGAGGAAAATGGTAGACAGTACAAAGGGAGATTTGTGAATGTTATACTAATTCCAGTCATTCTAATGTACCTAGAACAGCAGATTGATTACACTTGGCATTTTTCAGTTTCAAAGGCTGAGGACTGTAATATAGAAAGAGAGTGAATCAATGGATAAGCAAAAGGATGGAGAGATGAAGTTGCACTTAAAAACAATTTTTGGACTGAAACCAAGTACAGTATAAAACTTGTAGACCACCAAAGAATAATTGTCTTGTAAAGTAGCAAGACACTGAAATAGGATCTTAAAGTGAAGGTACTCTCACAATCCTCTTTATGGCTATGTCTAGACTGCAAGCGGAACTTTCGAAAAAGCAAGCCGCTTTTTCTAAAGAAAGCAGCGAGTGAGTCTGGATGCTCTCTTTCTAAAAAGCAGTTTCTTCCTGGAGCTGCTGCTTAGGGCTACCTGAGGCTCGTGCTTAAAGCTACCCTCCGTACAGTTGTGTCTCAGGCTCCTCTGTCCTTATGGGACAGCAAACCCATTCCACTGCTTGCTGTGGTTACCCTTGCAGATACCTCAGCATTTTAGCCATGGAGCCAGAGCTGCCGCTGGTCAGTCAACGGCCCTTATCTGTCGTGCTGCAGCTAGTGCATCAGTTCCTGCAGGCTGTCCCCCAGGCCATGCAGGAACGCAACTCCCAGCTCATCATCTCTCTGTGAGTGCAGCTCTTGCAGTTGCACCCCACCATGCACTGTCACTTTTGGTAACTGGACACCAGTTCTGATTGGTGGAACCTGTCGGAGACAGAACATCAGAAATGGCTGCCCGTCGCAGGGAGCCATAGCCTGTAATACATCTAAGGCTGGTATAGGGGGCTCTGTCTGTGAGGTGGAGTGTTTTCCATATAAGGGCATGTAAATTAATAATCTTCCCCTGCTCGCTCCACCCATTACAGTGAAAGATCAGCCAATGGGCTGACTTGTGCTCAGGCCTGCTACTCCACCCACTGCAGCAAAAAACAACCTATGGGGTGATAAGTTCACAGGCAATAAAACAGGCAGGCAGCCCCTCTCTCACGGGGGATTCGCCTCAAGTGAACGCCTGGCCTGATCACCCAGACGCCTTGCACCCCCCACTCTTGAGTCTTACAGAGCGTACTCCGAGTTGGTCGACCCGAGTGGAGACAGTTTATGAGCATGTGACCGGTCACAGCAGCCACAGAGCCAGAATTTCCGCATGCAGAAGGACACCTTTCTGGAGTGAGTGACTTGCCCCTGCCCTCAGGCGATGGGACACCCACATGAGACCCATCATCCCCCTCCAGAAGCAGGTAGCCATTGCTATTTGGAAGCCTGATATACCGGATAGCTACCAATATGTCAAACCAGTTCGGCGTGGGGAAGTTGACCATCATGTTGCACTGAGGGATGCTTAAGTCTAAATTTGCAATCTGATTACTGCTAATTAATTAATTAAACCTCAGTGGAAGTTGCAGATACCACCAAACCTCATCTATCATAGGTGTTTGTTGATTAACTTGCCGCGGAGAAATAAAAACGTTACGCAATTTAAAGGGGCCAAGCCATATATTGTAGGAATTTAAAAGGTACAACAAGGAAATAGGTAAACACTCTTAATATCCCAACCCAAGAAGCAATAGGAGGATAGTAAAGTACCCCACAAACACAAGGTATTACACAGACAATATTTACAATTCCAGTCGTCGACGATGGACGGTGATGCACCTGTCTCTCAAGCCTTTGGCTAATTAAAGCCTCTAGCGAGAGACTAGGAGGCAATCCCTCGCAGCGATGTCCTCTGCGGTGCTCTCGACCTCAAGCCTTAGGCTCCTTCCGAGCCCTTGGCGAGGAACAGAGAGGCGGTCCCTCGTAGATCCTGGGGACGGGTGGAATGCAGGCAGGTGGTGAAGTCCTCCTCCAGGGCCTTCTGCTCCTGGACGCAGGATTCACTGCTGGTAAGTTGCCTGGCGCTGGCCTTCGGGTTGATTCCGCTCTTCAGCGGGAACCAGCGATAGACGAGCTACTCCTGTACCCAGACTGGATACACAACGCCTCCCGTCACGATATAATACCCCGGCCGCTTGAGCGTAGAACCGACACACTATACTAACGGACAGACTCGATGACGAACCTCTAGCTAACCTAGCTATCTATAGACATGGACAGGGGATAGGGTGGAACGCTGCAGAGGAAGCAAAGCAAAAGCGAACAGCGAACAAGCGGGAAAGGTGAACTAGAACTTAAGTAGTCTCTCCCCATGAATATTTATGAGCTGTAGCTTTAAACTCATTGGACCTTGTCTGGGTAAACAAGGGCCTCTGATTGGATGGCTGAATAACCAGCTTCTAACTGTCTGGGGTGAGTGTACTGTGTGCAGCAGCATGTGGTGACATGTGCAGCTACTTGCGTGCCGTGTGCAACAGCACATGGTGACGTATGCAGTAGAAGCTAGAACTATCCATGTAACTATTCATGACAGTTGTTATATATTCAGTGTCACTGCTCATGCATATTGATGAGAAGGCGGGGACCCCGTTACAATCAGGGCCCTTCTTGTATAGATATGATGCTCTTGAGCTATTGTCCCAGGAGGGAGGTGAAGTGCTGGAATGGGGTGCCCTAAGGAAAGTGGTGGTGGTGATGGAAGCTCCGCCCCCCAGAGGTTTCTTAGTCCTGCCCTCACAAAGTCCTGCCAGGAGATGGTCGGGGGGGGGGGGAAGGGAGGGTGACCTCAGAGATCTCCCGAGGGCCCTGGCACCCCTGTGATTCTCTGTTTGTCTTCTACAGGTGGTGAGGGCCATCAACACCATGGATCATCAACCTGGGCGACATCGACCCCATCATTGCTGAATTTGCCGGTATGCTTCTTCAACTGTGGAGGGGCTGTTGTTGGCACCCACATCCCCATCTGGGCCCTTGACCACCGGGCATCTTTCTACATTAACTGGAAGGGATACTTTTCAATGGTCCTGCATGCCCTCATTGACCACCGCAGCCAGTTCACCAACATCTATATCGGGTGGTCAGGGAAGGCGCACGACACCCACGTCTTCCGAAACTCCAGCATCTTCCAGAAGCAGTATGCTGGTACTTTCTTCCCCAACTGCACCATCAAGGTTGAGGACGTAGACATGCCGATGTTCATTGTGGGAGACGCAGCTTACCCTCAGATGCTCTGGCTCATGAAGCCCTACACCAGACATCTTGACCCCATCAGGGAATGTTTTAATGCCAGACACAGCGGGGCCTGCATGGTGGTGGAGGGCATCTTCGGGCATCTGAAGGTGCGGTTCCATTGTCTCCGCACCCAGCTGGATGTTGGGAAGCGGAACATCCCCCAAGTGATGGCTGCATGTTGTGTCCTTCACAATATATGTTAAACGATGTGAGAGACGTTCCTGCTAGGGTGGGGGGCAGAGGCTGACCAGCTCGGCAGGGCCTTCGAGTAGCCATGCAGGACTGAGTGGCAATAGAACACCACTTGTCATCACCTACAGCTCCCAACTTATACCTGTCCAACACATTATCAATAGATTACAACCTATACTGGAACAGGACACTAAACTCCAAGAAGCTCTGGGAGACAGACTCATAGTCTCCTATAGACAACCACCTAACCTCAAGATGATTCTTACCAACAACCACAGGACATACCACACTAATACCAACCCCGGTACTTTCCCTTGCAACAAACCCTGCTGCCAGCTTTGTCCACATATTCACTCTGCTGGCACAATTATTGGGCCTAACCAAAGTGAGTTATAAGATCAAGAATACATATTCCTGCGCCTCCAGAAATATAATCTATGCTATCATGTGCCGAAAGTGTCCGTCTGCTATGTACATTGGACAAACGTCTCAGACACTTCGCCAAAGAATCAATGCCCACAAAACAGACATTAGACAGGATCACAAAGAAAAAACAGTTGCTTGTCATTTCAACCAGAAAGGACACTGTCTGAATGACCTGCTAACCTGCATCCTACTTCAGAAGACATTCAAATCTGCACTTGAAAGGGAATCCTCTGAACTGGCATTCATGCTAAAATTCGACACTCTCCGCACGGGACTTAACAAAGACCCCAGCTATCTTACCCATTACAAAGATAGCTTCCCCCATTATCACCTCTAATTCTATTAACTCACAGACATCTCCCCTTCCCCACCTCTAATATCATTAACTCACTGGCATCACCTCCTTTCCCCCCCCCCATCCCCCTTCTGTTCTGTAATGTGATTTGTCCTTTTCATGTGTGTTCATTTTTTTAAAATTGTATCCTTTGGTATATATGGTTGTGACTATTTTCTTCCATTATTTGATCTGAGGAAGTGGGTCTGGCCCACGAAAGCTCATCATCTAATAAACCATCTTGTTAGTCTTTAAAGTGCTACATAGACCTGTATAAGGATTTCAGTGACACTCTCCCCTGGGTCTCCCCACAAGGGGCCTGTGCATTGCCCCTCTGTGCCTTTCCTCCCACACCCTTCCCATCTCCCCTTCCATGTAGAGACAATAAAACACATTTTTTGGTTTTGAAAAAATAAACTGTTTATTTTTTTATTTGGGGAAGAAGTAACCAGGGAAAGAACCTGGGAGAGGGGAGAAGAGAGGAGGAGGAGGGGGGAGAAGGGAGCTGGAAGGGAGAGGAGGGGTGAGGAGAGGCTCAGGACTGAGGCTAGAAGTAATGCCTCGTGTGCGGGGACCTCAGCAGCCACAGGGGCAGAGAGGCTAGGGGGAGAAGCAGGAGCTGGAGCAGGGGCTGGAATGGGCTGGAGCAGGCACCATGCTGGTGATGAGGGCTTGTACTGCCACACATATGGTGCAGCTCTGCTCCAGCATCTCCTGCCAGGTCTCTTGCTGCAGCTGGATAGCCTCCTCCAGTCTCCGGTCCAGAGTGTGCTTCAAGGCTTGGCAGTGCAGAGATGTGCTCCCTCTGGGTTTCCTTCTGGGTTCTCCTGCACCAGCGGGTCACATGGTGTAGGGTAGCTGCCCTGGGTGGTGTCATCCGCCCCCTCTCGCAGCTGGTCCAGCTGTAGAGAACAGAGAGACTGTCAGTCATGCCAGGAGACACTGTGCCAGAAGCCCTGCCGTCATCTGTGACAGTTCTTGGGTCAGATGAAAGCAATATGCTTGGAGCAAGGTCACCTGAGGCCTGGACAGCGGCCCTTTCCTGCAGAGGAAATGTCCAAGGGGGGGAGCCTCACTCCCCCCGCATCGCAGGGATAAGCAGACATGGGAAGGCACCGACCAGGTCTGGCAGCAGCTCCATTCCATGGGGAGAAGACTTGTATTCCTGCCTGCTGGGAGGAGGGGTAGGGGATTGTGGGGAGATTTGTATGCTGGGAGGGATAGCTCAGTGGTTTGAGCATTGGCTTACTAAACCCCTGGTTGTGAGCTCAATCCTTGAGACAGCTATTTGGGGCAAAAATCTGTCAGGGATGGTACTTGGTACTGCTGGGAAAGCAGTAGACTAGACTAGCTGACCTTTCAAGGGTTCTAGAAGGTAGGTGGTCTCCATTCATATAATTTTTAAAGGGATAGTCTCATATGTCAGCTGTCCTCCAGGTATCTTGACGTTTTCTTGAAAAAGGGCAAATTCGCCTGTATTTTCTGTCTCCCCGCCTCCCATCAGTACTGGTGGGTCCTGCTGCTGGCAGTGTTTGGCCTTGGTGTACTTTTGCTTCACGTCTGGGCATAGTGGTGCGGAGGTACACAAGGGAAGGACGAAGGAACAACAGAAGAGGAGGGAGTTGTTTGAGTGTGTGCTCTCCTTAATGTCCAACACTACCAAAGCATCAGTGCCAGTAGATTCACCTCCAAGCTGGCCTGTCCTGTAGCCAATGCAACAAATAGTCAATTCTGGAGTAGGAAGGGTATGATCCTAAGAGTATCCCAGTGCCAGAGGCCACGGAATTTATTGGGATCAGGTAGTGAGTTTCGGCTAACCCACTGACGAATTTAATATACCCCAATTCACTTACATCATAATTGGAATCTGCTCTGCTGTGTATCACAATGATGCTAGCAGAGTTAATACTGGAATAGCTTGGGAAAGTGTCCTCCCATGGTGGAGAAAACAAGACAGCCTTCCCCAGAAATCTTCTGCAAAATATTACAGAGTACTATATGAAAATTCCCTGGAGCTTCCATTATATTGGTGTGTGATTGCTTGAAAAACTAGGAAGATACCGAGTGTTATCCAAACTTCAGTAGGTCACACAAAATATTATAAAAGCAAAAATAAATTGAGAAATGAGTATGTGTACTAAGACATTATACAACATCACAATTCCTTACATATCTTCTTCAGCGGGCAGACGTACACAAAGCATACCTTACTCTCCTGGATCCAGCCACAGTACTGGGCCTATAAAGCAGCAGTTTCTTAGTGAAAGCTCTTCCTCTTGATAGATATTGTGCAACACACAGCACATCCCAATAATATGAATGACATTGGGCATATTGAATAGTAATAGAGAGGTAGCCATGTTAGTCTGATCTTGCTAAAACAAAAGGAAAAACTATGTAGCACTTTAAAGACTAACAAGATGGTTTAATAGGTGATGAGCTTTCTTGGGCCAGATCCACTTCCTCAGATCATAATCTGGAAGAGAATCGGATGCTAATTACCTAACCCATTACAAAGATAGCTTCCCCACTTAACACCCCTGATTAGCCATTCATTGACTCATAAATAGCTATTTCCTCCTTGCCTTCCTCTCCCTCACCCCACCTTCTGTACTAAATCTGATTTGTCAGTTTAATAATGTGTTCAATTTTTTCATTGTATTCCTTTGGTATATATGGTCATGCCAATTCTCTTCCAGAATATGATCTGAGGATGTGGGTCTGGCCCATGAAAGCTCATCGCCTATTAAACCATCTTGTTAGTCTTTAAAGTGGTACATAGTTTTTCCTTTTGATTGGCCAAATGAACATTCTTCTACTATCCTGCAACTAATAGGGGTGTAATTACCCCGATTCTTCCAGATGCTCTGAAATCAGGGCAGAAGAAGATTGCCTAGGTCCCCTAAAATAGCAATGCATACAGACATCCTGTAAATAACCATATTATCTGGAGGGAATAAGATCCCTTCTTTGCCAAACAAGTAAATACCAGATTCCCTAAACACCCTGGCTACGTCTACACTGTGCAGTCTTGCGCAAGAACATATGCAAATAAGGCATGGCTATGAATATCACTGCACCTTATTTGCATACTTAATGAGCTGCCATTTTGCACAAGAGCTGTTCTGCCATTTATTTTCAGGCAGAATGGCTCTTGCGCAAGAGGAGGGTTTTGCACAAGAAGGAGCAGTGTAGACTGCTCCTTCTTGTGCAAAAGCTACTTGCGCAAAAATGGCAGCTCATTAAGTATGCAAATGAGGTACAGTGATATTCATGTACCGGATATGTTGGGCAGCCTATTTTACATGCCTCTGTTGGCAGAGGCATGTAATCTAGACATACTCATAGGGTATGTCTAGACTGCCTCCCTCTGTCGGCAGAGGGATGCAGATTAGGCATATCGACATTGCAAATGAGGCAGGCGGCATGAGGGATCTGTCGAAAAAGGCTTTCTTTCTCAACAGAGCTCCCTGTAGACTGCCTCTTTTTGCCGACAAAGTGCTGAGTCAGCAAAACACGGTGGCCATTTTTATGCAAATTAGGCACGGGATATTGAAATCCCTGACTCATTTGCAATGTCGACCTGCCTAATCTGCATCCCTCTGCCGACGGAGGGAGGCAGTCTAGACATACCCTATGAGTATGTCTAGATTACATGCCTCTGCCGACAGAGGCATGTAAAATAGGCTGTCCAACATAGTCAATGAAGCAAGGATTTAAATACCCCCGGCTTCATTAAAATAAAAATGGCCACCACGCTGTGCCGGCTCAGCTGATCGTCGGCACAGCACGCAAGTCAAGACGTGGATCGGTCGACAGGGGAAGCCTTTGTCGACCAATCCTGTAAACCTTGTTTCACGAGGCATAAGGGAAGCCAAGAGTATGCACATTATTTCCTCACCTTCGTTGTCCTGCACCTTATGTAGTCATCTACACAAGTACAAGGTAAGACAAAGTGGTTGTAAAACATTGCTACATTGAAATGGAAAAAATAAACCCACTATATTTATCTGTAAGAAACAATTGTACCAACACAAAATGGAATGGTTCACTCCTCTGTGCTTCTGGACATGATTAGAATACAACTGACTCTGTTTGAAATGTTTTCTGTGTTGTTTGATGTTGTGTAACTTACAGTAGGCGTAAAGAGAATTTTAAATGTCTGGAGGTGGATAATTGATCTTTATGCAGTTCTGTGACATTGACTGAGTTCATAAATGCTCTCAATAAAGGCTACAGAGAGCTGTTAATAGTGACTGGCTAATGAGCCAAGCAGTTCTACATCCACACTAAAAACTAACTGTAAGGTCTTATGACAATTGTTTGTTTCCATAAA